GCACGGCTGGCACCGCCTCGGTTGCCGCGCGCCCGTCGGCCCGGCCCCGGCCGCCGCCGTCCGCGGGCGCGGGCAGGCATGCAGTAGATACCACAATGGTCATCCTGCCCCTTGGCGCCACGGCGGCTGCCCCAAGCCGCGTGCCAAACCGCCGCCCCACGGCCGCGCCGGCGCCCGCCGGCCTCAGGCCCACAGAAAACGCGGGCAGCCGCTGGCGCTGCTGCTGGTTGGGCGCAGGCAGCAGCTTGGCCATGTGCCCCTTGTTCTGAGATGCCTCGGACTGCCAGGATGTGGGCGCCCCCGCTGGCGGCGCGTTCTCGTCCTGAGGGCCTGGCGGCGGCGGCGCCAGCGGCGGCGGCCCTGGCGGCAGCGGTGGCAGCGGCGACGCCGGCGGCCGCTGCTGCTGCTGTGGCGGCAGCGCCATGCACGCCTGGCCATCCGGCGGCGCGAGTGCCAGCCTCTGCATTGCCTCCTCAAGCGGCGGTGGCGGCCCCGGTGGCAGCGGAGGCAGCGGTGAGGGCGGCGCCGCTGGCTGCTGCTGCTGCTGCCGCTGCTGCTGGGGCGGCAGCGCAATGCACGCCTGGCCGTCCGCCGGGGCGAGTGCCAGCCTCTGCATTGCCTCCTCCAGCGGCGGTGGCGGCCCCGGTGGCAGCGGAGGCAGCGGCGAGGGCGGCGCCGCTGGATGCTGCTGCTGCTGCCGCTGCTGCTGGGGCGGCAGCGCCACGCACGCCTGACCATCCGGTGACGCGAGCGCAAGCCTCTGAATCGCCTCCTCCAATGGCGGCGGCGGCCCAGGTGGCAGCGGAGGCGGCGGTGAGAGCGGCGACACGGGCGGCTGCTTCCGCTGCTTTGGCGTCACGGCTGTGCACGCCTGAGTGTCCGCTGAAGCAAGGGCGAGCCTCTGCATCGCCTCCTCAAGCGGCGGTGGCGGCCCCAGTGGCAGCGGCGGCGGCGGCGAGAGCGGCGACGCGGGCGGCAGCTGCTGCTGCTTTGGCGGCAGGGCTGTACACGCTTGACTGTCTGCCGACGCGAGCGCGAGTCTCTGCATTGCCTCCTCGAGCGGCGGCGGCGGCCCCGATGGCAGTGGTGGCGGCGGTGAGGGCGGCGCCGGCTGCTGCTGCTGTGTTGGCAGGGCTGCGCATGCCTGACTGCCTGAGGAGGCAAGGTCGAGCCTCTGCGTCGCCTCCTCAAGCGGCGGCGCCCCATCGCAAGGGCTCGGCGGCAGCGGTGGCAGCGGCAATGTGACCCGCAGCAACGGCGCTGCCGGCTGCTGCGACAACGGCAGGGGCCCCGGCGATGCCGGCCGGAGGGGCGCCTGCGGCGGCGGCTGGGGTTCTCCATCGGTCGCCGGCATGTCCGGGGGCGTCGCTGAGCCCGGGGCCAGCGGCGGCTGCCCTGGCTGCAGCTGCGCCGCAGGCTGTTGACCGGCCGCCGTGGGGGACGCAGGGGCGGGCGCCTGCCCCGCCGCCTTGGACGGCTGATCAGTCGGCTGGTCGTCTTGTGGAGGGGTGTCCAAGAGTGGGGCCGGTGCCAGGCTGGAGTCATCAAGCTGCTGCTGCTGCTGCTGCTGCTGCTCTGACTCCTGATTCAGCAACACTGCCGTTGGCAGCATCTCTGGCGCCTGAAGGCACTCCTGCTGCGCAACGCCAGGCTGCCAGCCCATGCGTCCGACACGCCGCTGCGCCCGCGCGGCCACCCTGCGCCGCCGCTGCTGAGAGCCCTGGCCGGCGGCTGGCTGCGGCTGGGGACCGCGCAGCTGCTCGTGCTGCACCCAGCGCGGCGCGTCGCGGCGCGCGCGCTTGGAACGGTCGGGGGTGACCCGGTGCTGGCCGCACGCCTGCTGCTGCTGGCCTTCCGGCTGCCGCGCCACCTGCCGCGCCGGCAGCAACCACGGCAGTCCGCACGAAGCGGCATCCGCGCCGGAGACCGTCGCGGCGGCCAGCACCAGCGGCGGCAGCCGGCTGCCCTCGCGGGACGGCGCCGGCTCCGCAGCGCCGCAGGGGTCGCCAGCCTGCGCCCTCTCCACCGCCGCCGCAATGAGGTGCTCCAGCAGCAGCGCCTGCGCCCGCTCCTGCTCGCCCTCCGCCGCCTCCCAGTCCCCTCGCGCGCGCTTCGCCTCCAGCTGCGCGCGCGCGACCCGCGCGGCCGCGGCGGCGGCCCCGCCGGCGGCGGACCACGCCCAGAACGGCACGCTGACGGGGACGTACCCTGACGCCTCGAGCGCGCGGTCCCTCGCGGCGGTCTCCCCACGCACCGCCCAAACGCCGCCGCCGCCGTTGGCGCAGGCGCCGACACGGCTTGCGTCGGCTTCCGCGTCCCCGGCGCCGCCGCGGCCGTCGGCGGCGGCGTCATCGACGAGCAGCAAAAAGTGCGAGGGCCCGTCCACCTCGATGGCCAGCTCGCGGCGGCTGGCGGAATGTACGGCGGCGATGTCGACAGACCGGTAGCCGCCGCCGTGCGTCGGGGCCTCGAGCCGGCAGCCCTCCACGACGCCGCGCATCTGGCGCAGCCGGTCGAACACCTGCCGCTGCAGCTCGGAGGTGCGCGGGTCGCGGGCGCCGCCGAGCCAGGCGGAGCGGCAGGCCTGCAGGCGGCAGGCCGACAACACATCATGGAGGCCCTCGGCAGACGCGCGGCCGCCGCGGCTGCGGCTCTTGCTGCGGCTGCTGCCGCGGCGGCGCCCGTGGCTGCTGTGGGACTCGTCTTTGTCGCCGCCGCCGTCATCAGCGTCGGCGTCCCAGTGGCCACGGCCAGCCAGGTCATTGTCATCGCTGTCGTCATCGTCGCTGTTGACGCCGTCACCGCGGCGGTCGCGGCCGCCGCCGTCGTCGCTGCTGCGGCGCGCCGGGGGCTGCGGGTCGATGCAGTCCACGAGCCACATGTGCACCTTGGAGGTGAGGTGAGGGCAGGGCGGGGGCGTCTTGTTGACATCATTGCCGAGAAAGTTTTGCAGAGGCAGTGCCAAGCGCTGCGCTGTGTCTGCACACGCTCCCGCACATGTCAGCCCCCACGCACCTGCCACAGCTGCGGTTTCATAGCGTCGGAAGGACCGGCGGCCGTGTGGATTGGCATTGCAGGGAGGGAGAAGGGGCACGCGATGTGTTGGTTGTGGTTACGGACTTTGGGCAGCAAGGACGAAGGGCGCGGGGCAGCCCAAACAAGGAGAGCGCAGAACGAGCAGGATTAGGGCCTGGCGCCAGCCATGTCCGCTCAGCGCACGCGGCCGTGCCTGCACAACCCCATTGACCAGCAGCCGGCATGCCTACTGGCGTATTGACTATCAATCTGCTCAGAATTGACCTGGCAGCCAGCTTGCGCAGGCGGGCGGCGCGCCATTCCTCTCCCCCCACCTGCGTCAGCATCGCCGGCGACAGCCGGTGCCACCCCGGCAGCCCCGCGGCGTGGCGGCACAGCTGCGTCACACCGCCCGCCAGGCCCCGCTGGTCTGATATGGCGGCCGCCCACGACGCGTTGATTGCCTCCACCGCGGACACGCGCGCAGCGTACTGTGGGGCCGTTTGAGGTAGGCGCGGCAGGGGTTGGCTGGGGCGAGTCGGCACGAGGGATGCGGCCTGAGCTGATGATCTTCGCCACACGGGCCGCTCCCCGTTACGCAGCAACTGAGCTGCACAACCCCGTGTGCGCCATCCACAGGCACTGATCATGGCGTCAATGAGACATGCAGTCTGGGGGCGCGAGCAGCGATCCCAGCCCAGCCGCGCCCTGCTGACTCACCATGTCCTCCGGGCCCGCCTCCAGCCGCGCGCACAGCTCCCCCACGAGAGCCCCGACAGGCGCCGCGCACTCCTCGGGCGCACGCAGCGTGGCGAGCGCGGCGGCAGTCAGCTGCAGCTGCCGCGACGCCAGCCGGCGCAGCTGCCGCGCCCACGAACCGCCCGCCTCACATCCTCTGCCGGCGTCATCGCAGCTGCCCCCGCCGCTGGCGGAGCCGCAGCCGCCGATGCAGGCGCAGGTGCCGCTGAAGCAGCCGGCCGCGCCCCCGAAAATGCATGCCAGCAGCCCGTCCACGAAGCGCCGCGGGTGCACGCCGGCGCGGCCGAGCGCGTACAGCGCCTCTGCGGCACGATGCGGCGCCCCCTCAAACGCGGCAGCGCCGGCCGAGCCGCACAGCTCGCACAGCTGCCAGCGCAGCTCTACATCCCCCTTTGAGCCGTCGGGCCTGCCAACGCAGCAGCTAGACAGGACGCCCGCCAGGTCGCAGGCCCGCATGCGCCGCGCGCACGGCAGCAGCGGCCGCAGCAGCGGGAGGATGGCTCGCGCGGCGCCGCGTTCGCCGCGCGGCAGCGCGTCGCAGGCAGCATGGAGGCAGCGCAGCAGGCGGCACAGGCCGTCGCTGTCACTGCTGCTGTCGCCGTCGACGTCGCCGTCGCTGCTCGCGCTGCTGCACAGGGAGTCTTCTGGGCAACCGTCGCCGCCGGTGCGCACGCTGCCACCCCCGCGGCTGCTGGAACGCCCGGGGCGCCTGCCGGCGCCACCGGTGTGGCCGTAGGACGAGATGGCGCAAGCGCCGCTGTCCCCTGGCCCGCCTTCCACCACCTCGCCCTCCTCCAATTCACTCTCCTCGCGCGGCGGCGCTTCTGGCGTGCTGGGCACATCGCCAGTTGAGGAAGTGGCAGTGGGGGAGGCACTGCTTTTGGTGCTCGCGCTGCTGCTGTTCAGGCCAACCGCGCCATCCTCTGTGGCGCCGCCGCAGCACCAGGTAGCGCCGGGGGAGCCCTGCAATTGAGCAAAGGCGCGCGGCGGCCAGGGGCGTTGAAGTCTTGGCAGGGTCAAAAGGCGGGAATTAGGAAGGGTGGCATTAAACTTAGACACAAATGGCGCTGATCCGGCATGGCGCATTCAGTCTGCGCGGCGCCGTAGTCACCACAGGGCTCCCAGCCGTCAGAGTCGAAATCAATGGCGCCTCACCTGCGCAGGCGGCTGCGGCGCAGCATGCTCAGTTTTTATGGTTGAGCTGGTGTCTCGGCCATCTTCCAGCGCGTTGTCTGTTTGTATTTCACCCTCCTCTACCTCCCCCTCTTCTATCTCGCCCTCTTCCACCTCGCCCTCCTCGCTCGGCGGGCCTTTGGTCACGGCGCAAGCCGTGGCGTTGGTTTCTGCGGTGCTGCCTGTACTGCTGCTGCTGCTGCTGCTGCTGCTGCAGTCGGTGGTGGTGGTGCTGCTTGACAAGTGAGTACCGCAGGCAGTTGGGTACCCCGCAGCAGCGCATACTGGCGCCGCGTTGTCATTGCTGACGACCGACTCCTGTTTCACCAACGGCGTGCCGCTGTGCGCCTGTGGGTCCGGCAACGGGTAGGCCTCCTGGCAAGATGCGGCTGGAACCAGGGGGTCACAGCACGCGCTCTGCGGCGGTTCGAGGATCGAGCCGAACAGCGAGAGCAGGCGGCCCTCGCGTCCCGCCTCCTCGCCCGGCCAGTCACGCGGCATGGGGATCAGGCCCGGGTGGCCTCCTGATCACTGGCGAAGCATCAACTGCAGCGCTTGCGGCGCAGCCCTGCGGTACGTGCGTTTCAACAACGGAGGGAGGGCGGCGCAGGTTACAAAGGGTGATGGTGCCGTTATGAAATTTGTCAGTGAAAAATCCATGAGAGCCGCGTCTCTACAAAAGCATTGCATTTGAAAGGCAGATCACCTTCGTCAAACTTAAATTCACCGTCCCAGAGCGGGAATCATAACAGAAGGCAACCAAGGTCGATCGTTTGAAACTGTACCCTCTCGCATCCGGTCAAATGAACATGCAAGCATCTTGTGATTGCCATGAAAGACGGCGAACAGCATTCTGACTCAGCCTGCCCCTCCCGCTCTGATCAGCATCTGCTTTGCCCCTGACCCTGACAAGCCTAGCAGCCTTGTGTGGTGGTAAACCATGCAGACAATTCCATCCCTTTGTGGCCGTTGCCGGGTATGCACCCTCCAATTTCGCACGCAGTCATGCCACCGTAGGGCTCACATCCGTCCGCCCACTGCGGAAACGCCTGACCCTTGCTCCTGCAGGCACTTATCCCCCGCTAAGCGCTTGGTTTGGGCAGGAGCTCCTAGAGATTGATGCAAACGGGCAGTGTGTGCAAAGTGTCTCCGGCAGGGCGGCAATGAAGCCTTTCAAATGCTTCACTCCGGTTGACCACGGTCTTGACCGCAGCAGCAACGCAGGAAAGTGGGAGGATATGTGTGAAGCGGATATCCTCACGGGAATTGTCCCCCAACAAAGGGCTGTTCAGCGACGGTAATAACGCGCGGCGCAGTGGTTGTGCAGTGCCACTGCCAGCACTCAGGTGACCCGCTCAACAAGTGCCAACCGCTGCCGAGCCCTGGCGTGTGCTACTGGGGCCACACGCGTTCTTTGAAACTGAAGGTCGAGTTGTGAGATAGTAACGAGTGAATGCAACACTGATTTCATAAGGGATCACACGGGGCGCCCGCTGCCTGGGCTGAATGCAATGAGCAAGCGAAACTTGCAGCAGAGCAATAGAAGGTGGCGTAACGGACCCACGAGCTTCTCAGCAGAGTACCTGCGGGAGGTGGGCAGCTGCATGTGCAGGTCAAGGGAGCATGCGCCGCAGCCGCCGCTTTGCTCGTTCGTCACGCATGCCCGAGCCGATTCAAGGCGGCCCCTCGCAGCAGCGATCGCGCTGACATCTGTAGCAGCAAATATCAATCGCACCGACAACTCTGTTGCGCCGTGCTGCACCAATCAAACCCCTTTCGGGCGCAGCTCCGCGAGGCGAGCGCGGATGAGCAGCGCTCTGCGCCGGCCCGCCGGCTGGCAGCAGCGCTGCTCGCATTCTCCGAGGACCAGACGGCGTTCGCAGAGCTTGAGGACCTGAAACATCTGATCTCGGCGGCCGAGGAGGCGCTGCGCGATGCTGCTGCCGGCGGCAGCGACGACGGCGCAGCTGCCGAAGCCCCGATGCGGCTGCTGCTGCCACTCCTCCTTCAGGATGGCTCGCGCCTGCTGCACCGCCACTTGCTGTCTTTCGTGCGCCGGCTGCCTCCCCGTGAGCAGGCTGCGGCGGGGCGCGTCATAACGGGCGCGCTGCTGGCAGCGGCGCGGCAGCAGCTGGACACAGCCGGCGCCGGCCCCGATGCCGGCACTGCCGGCGGGGCCAGCTGGGGAGGCACTGCAAGCGCCGACCTTCCCAGCTGGGTGCGCCCGTCGCTCAGCCTGGCCCAGGCTGGCGCGTCCCTCACATGGCAGCCCGCCTCGCGCGCGTGGCTCGCGCCGGCGGCCGCGCCGCTGCTCCGGCTGTCTGCGCGAGCGGCGGGCGCGCTGCTCGCGGCGGCGGACGCGGGGTCGCCGTTGTCGCCGCACTCGGTCGACCAGCTGCAGGAGGCAGTGACCCTCATTATTTACCTGTTGGTGAATTATGGCGCTGAACTGGCCGCCAACAGCCCGCCCTTTCCTGCCGAGACAAGCACCGCCCCGCACCTTGGACCAGCAGCGCACGGCGGCCGCGGCGGCGCCGCGCCGCAGCTGTCGGGCTTACCAGAGGGGCAGCTGGCGGTGCTAGAGGCGGCCGAGGCGATGCTCGCTGCGCTGCGCAGCCAATCTTTGGTGCGCGAGCTGGTCTCCAGCGCCGCGGTTGCGCTGTGGCATGCTTCGGTGCTGCCCGCAGTGCCGCCGGCCTCGGCGGCGCTCGCGTTTGCTCGCGGGCTGGGGCTGGATGGTGGCGAGGGGCTGGATCAGGATCGGCAGCAGCAGGAGCAGCAGCAGGAGCAGCAGCAGCAGCAGCACGTGGTGCGGCGGGGCTTAATGGCCAACCCGCAGCTTGACGCTGTGTGGTCGGAAGCAAGCTTGGTCGAACGACTTCTGTCTGCACGAGCCGCCGTAGGGGATGATGAGGCCAAGACCACGCCCACCGCCGCGCACGCCACGCACGGCAGCTGCCTTGTCGCGGCCCTTGCGCGTGTCAGCCCTCTCGGGCGCGTGTGCGCCCTCAAGGGCCTGGTCACCGCGCTGCCTGTGGAGGCCCTCTGTGTCAGCCTCGAGAGCGCCTCAGTTGAGGGCGGCAGCGGCTGGAGCCTGCTGGCGGCCGGGGCGGTCCCTACCGCCGCCGCGGCGCTCGGCGCTGCGACAGACTCGCACGCCAAGTTCCACTCCGCCAACACGCTGGGTGCGGCGATGGCACGCTGTAGGGAGGTGTGGCAGCAGCTGGCCGCGCAGGGGGAGCAGGGCGCCAGCGTTGGCGAGGCGGTGGCTGCAAAGGAGGATCAGGCTGGTGATGGCGAGGGCGGCAGCGGCGGCGGCGGCGGCGGCGGCGCGCTGCTTGTGCCGTGGCTGCTGCCGGAGACGCGGGAGCAGGTCATGGCAGCCCTGTGGCCCATGGTTGACGAGCCGGTGGCTCAGACGCTCAAGCAGGTGGGCGCAGCCGCTGGGGCGGCCGCATGCAGGGTGCGCATGGGCGGCTCCACCGTCATCCAAACTCTGGCATGAGGTTGCATGCTTCCTCAGAGAGCACAAGATCACCCATGCGTGCCCATGTCAAGCCCATTCGCACCCCATGCGCGACCCATGTGCGGCCATCATGCGCATATCATGCGACCCCCGGCCCCATGCTGACCTCATGCGCCGCTGCAAACCTCCATGCGTGCAGGTGCAAGAGGCGTTCGACCAGCTGGTGGCGTTGTTAGCCGACCAAACCACCTGCGCAGCGCGACTCGCGCTGCCGCCGCCCCCAGGCTGCTCCGCGGCCGACGCCGCCGCCTTCTTCCGCTCCGCGGCCGCCGCGGTGTTGCGCATGGCGCCGGGCCGCAAGGGGCGCTACGCGCCGCTGCTCGCGCTGCTGCCGCGCGTTGGCGCGGGGTGGCTCGTGACGCAGGAGCCGCGTGTTGTCGAGCAGACGCTGCACGCAATGTGCAACGACATGGTGGCCAATACGGCCACAGCTTTCTTCAAAGGCCTGATCGCCCAGCTGCGCCGCGAGGCGTCTGGCGGCGAGTGCGACGGCGGCGCGGCGGCCGACGACGACGAGGCGATGCGGCGCTGGTGCGCGCCGTGGCTGCCCGCCGTGGCTGCGGCGCTGTCTGGGCCGGACGAGCGCCTGCGGACCTACGTCGCTGCGCACGCGCTGCCCGCGCTGCTGCGCGCCGAGCCCGCGCTGTTGCGCGTGCTGCTCGCGGCGAGCCGCGGCGCGGACGAGCACGGGCGGATGGCGGCGGCGGTGGTCGTGCTGCGCGCGGGCAGGCAGATGCAGCTGGTCGGTGACCTCTCAGACATCGACGCCCTCGCGGGCGACCTGGGCAGCGGCCGTGATCCGGAGAACAGGCCGGAGGGCGACGTGGCGGCGCGCTCGCATGGGGCGCGTGACCTGCTGGTGGGCTGCGTGTCCAGCGGGTCGGAGGCGCTGCGGCTCGCGTGCCTGGAGCTGGCGTGTGTGGCGCCAAGGTGGGCGGCCTTGATGCGGCCTGCCCTGCCGCGTGCAAGCCTGCCGCGCCGCCCCCGGTGCCATGCCAGCGCTTTCCAACCATGTGCGATCGGGTGGTCGAGATGCTGTGCTCTTGATGATGAGCATCAGCGCCTGCACCCTGGCCGATCGCGCATGGATCGCCGTCCTGCTCCTTGCTCCTTGCATAGACACTCGCGAATTTCGCCACCAACCGCTTTGCCAGGACCTCCGAGCCACCAGGAGAGTTGGAGCTCGCAATCGCGAAAGAGTGGCTGCTGCTGTGCATGCGCTGCCCGAGCGCCGGCGGCCGCCAGAAGGCGCTGGTCATGATAGGGAAGCTGCTCACCCGCTGCCAGGTCTCGGTGCACGCCATACGGACGCGGCTGCTCGGCTCCCGGCCCAGCGGAGCGGCAGGTCAGCAGTGTGGCCTGACATCTGGGGCTGGGGGCTAGTCAGGGAGGGGGAGGGCGAGGGGGTTGTATGTGGGAGGTGCTTGGGCTGCTGTCATGTGGGCATTTACTGGTGCCTGGTTGTGACTGAGTCGCGCATTCAGCCGGGCGTAGCGGCAGGGACTGCGTCTCGCGCTTGCTCCCCTGCTGCTGAGTCATGCCCGCCCCTGCGCACCCACCCCACCTCCACTCGCAGGCGGCGGCAAGCCCCGGCGCAGCACCCACGCCCTGGCTCCAGCGCAGCCGCCCGCGCCCGAGCCCACACCCGCGCCCGTGCAGGCGGACCCCCATGCCGCGGCGTTTGCTGCGCTTGAGAGGGTCGAGGCCTTCCTGCAGTGGCTCGGCGCCACGCTGCTGGCAAGCCTGTACCCCGGCGCGCCGTTTGAGCGCAAGCTGTTCGCCCTCGAGACGCTGGTGCTGCTCCTCGAGACGTGGGGGCCAGATGCGGCCGCCGCAACCGCCGCCACGCCAGCATTCTCAGACGTGGAACCTTTGTCAGTGACGGCTGACAGCAGCAGGGCGGGCGCGCTGGGTGGCGACACTGACGACGCGCGGCGAGCGGCGCGGCTGCGGCTGCTGCGCGCGTTTGCGCCGCACGACGCGTCGCTTACTTCGGCCGGCGCGACCAACGCGCTGCTGGGCAACCTGCTGGACAGCCGCGACAGGCTGAGGGCGGGTGAGGGGGCGATTTCGTGTGTGGGGGCGCCGGTGGAGTGTCGTCAGCTGTGTGGGGCCGGCGGCAGGATGAGGGGTGGCACTGCATTTGAAGCCTTGATCACCCATGGCTGTGTGTAGGGGCGGAGCTGGCCTTGTCACAGAATAGACACCCTGCTAAAGCACCACTGACACAGCAAACGCCGGCGGCCGCATTGCCGGGCGAGCTCACTCACTTCATAACCTCCAAACCCCCGCTTCCCCCTGCACGCGGCGCCGCGCCCAGGTGCCGAGCAAGCTCTGTCTCTGCTGCCGACGCCTCTACCCGGCCTCGAGACGCCCGCCGCGCTGCTGCCGCTGCTGTCCTGGGCGCGCGCGCTGCTGCTCAGCCCGCGGCTGCACGAGGCGGACGCGGGGGCGCGCATGGTCAAGCTGGTCAACGACATCTACGTCACCCGCCTCGGCTGGCGGGTGACGCTGTGGCCGGACCTGGCGATTCACGAGCCTGTTAGGGAGGACGCCCAGCAAGCCCGCGCGAGCGGCATTGGCGCCGACGCCGCAGCGGCGGTGCCTGGGTTGTGCCTGATGCGGTCGCTGATGTGGCAGGCAGCTTCCCAGCTGGACCTGGCGGATTCGGATCTGCCCGCTGCCTGCCGCACGGGCCTCGCACACGGGCCCCTGCTCGCGCTGCAGTACGCGCTTGACGGCGCCCCCTGGGCCGCCGCGGCCGGCGGCGGCGGCGCTCCCGCGGCCGCGGCGCGCGCCCTGGCGGGCGACCTGCTTCCGCTGCTGCGGCGCGCGGCTGCGGCGGCGCTGCCGCCGCTGGCGCGGCAGGATCAGAATGTGGGGGCAGGGGACGTCGACGCTGACGAGGTTGATGGCGGCGGCGGCGACGCCGAGGACTACGGTGATGATGCTGAAGAGCAGGGCGCGGACGACGGGGAGGCAGGCGGCGCGTCGGGCGGTGGCGCGCTGGGGCCCGTGCCGCAGGTCGTCAACACCGCGTGCTGGATGACGCTCAAGGGCGTCGCGTGCGTCACCGCAGCCCTCGTCGCCGGCGCGCGCCTCCCCAGCGGCACCGGTGGCTGCGGTGCGGACGAAGGGGCTGCGGAGGGCGGCGGCGGCGGGAGCGGCGGC